AAAAAAAAAAAAAAAAAAAAAAAAAAAAATCAAAGCCAGAACCGTCGTCTAGCATTTCTATGTATTTGTTCTTTGTCTTCTTGAATGCTGCTCTAAATCAAGCCTCCGTAAATAAGCTGCAGCAGCTCACTGAAACCGGCTGCTAAATTGGCTTGGTTAAAATCAACGTAATCTCTTCACGTGGACATTCCTGCACTGGCCCAAGAGCAGCTGATCTCATTTCAACCAGGAAAAACCCAGTAGTTTGTTAATTGGGCCATATTTGAAAGATCTCATGTCTTTCAATTGTTAAAAAAACCCTTTTCAGCAGTTCTGCATYAATGACGTGAACGCCTGTGTTGTCTCCTCAGCCTGCAGTACCTTGCGTTTTCTCTCTGGTTTCTCTCCTATAAACTTAGACGAAAATTACAAAATGGGTTTTTATTTTATGTGCCCCAGTAGAGCTTGCTGGGTGATTTTACACTTTTGCAGCCAAGTCAGAAAGTCCTTCATCTCTTTTCCGGTAACATCCTTGGGAAAAGCAAAAAMCCTCAATTAGCACCGAGAGCAGCAGGACACGACATCAGACACCACAAGACTCCGGTAACCCGGGGGTTGCTCCCTCCCCAAGGCCTCCTTGAACATCACTTGGAGCACGGCAGCTCCTCCATCCCTCCCTTTTCACCTACACAGCTGGAATAACAGGTCTCACAGCTGGAATAACGGTTCTTCCTTAGAACAGGGTGGCTATGAAGAGAAACACGGCGGTGTTGGAAGCCACGCACTAAAACTGCCACAAAACTTGAACCTCAATTCAACACATACCTCTGTGATGTAAAGTCGTTTTTGGAAGAGAAATAACACATTTGAAAACACCATGATGTTTCCCAACACTTGCTCTGAGCCTTCTGCAACCTTCCATTTCAAATAGCTGGTTAAGGGAAATCATTTCTTCCCCCTTTAAGCGTCGGGGTTCCTGAGGGCCCAGCATGATCTTCCTGCACCCTTCACCGCCGGCTCCACATTAAGAAGCCTCATGGAAAGGGCCCCTCTACTCCTCTACATGGCTTCTCGCACGTTAAAACGGAAACCCACCACAATACTGGTTTGTTCAAATGGTTAAATGGACCCTTCCCCTCAAAATAACATCATGCCCAACCGTTTCTGCAGCACCAAATGGCAGGCCGGGGGCGGCCCAGCCTGCAAAATGGCCGTCCCCATGGCTGYGTCACATCGAGGCCGCCGAGCGCAGCCGTCGCCTCGTGTCTAACGGCATCCCCCGGTATCAGACACCGCACAAACTCACAGATGCTACAAATAAAAACCACCCCCTGGACAAAGCACACGGCTTTCACAGGGAGACTGTTGCTTTTCCAGGGAGCCTTCAACAGGAAAAACAGGAAAAAGCAGAAGGGAAGGGGACAGGAAAACACCGACRGCCTGAAAAAAGGCTTCCGGGCATAGATGTCTCAACACGTGGCAAGATGCAATAGTTGACATATGGATTTCCTCATCCTGGCAATATCTTGCCCTGCAAGCCCTGCTCTTCCCTGGAATTACCAGCAATCAGCTAGGGAAAAGGGCGCTTGGCTGGTCACAGCTGCAAAGTGTTTCCCGGCACGGATACATTTCCCCACACGATCCACAGGCTCCACACAATTTGCAGCTGAAGAGCTGGGCTGCCTAGTCCTTCACTAAGCCATGAGAGTCCTTGGAAGAGCCAAGTGAGTAGATATGAGGATCACCTTACAAAGGTTCAAAGTCCTTGTTCTTCTCTCACCTCAGCAACGCTTTAAAGGTTCTGCTTGTTGGCTTGGCCTCCTTTTAGGTTAAAAATAAACAGTTCAAGAACCTGTCTCATGTGTTAAGTTCCATTTATTTCATAACCGTTTGCTGGAATAGTCTCAAACTGCCAATGTACAATAAGCAAATTCTGCTGGTCAGGGAGACTTCTTTTTTTTATGAAAAATGCTGAGGAAAGCAAACCATCTGCTCCAGAACTCATTTTGCTTCATTCATCTTCTTTCAGCTGCATCTTAAATTCAAAGATAGAAYTGCGCCAGCAAGACCAAATACTCATTTCAAGAGCACCCTTCAGAGGTGTGGGCTCCCAGCCCTTCTCCTCTGCAGAAGGACAAGGAATAAAACACTCACTTGCAGCAAAGAAGTTTCAGACTGGACAATTCTTCCTAATATCCAAGGAAAAGGAGAGCTAGACTTTAAGATGTCATATTCTTAATAAGTAATGCATCCACAGGGATGTTCTAGGAAAACTCAGTATTGCAAAAACACAAGCAAAGGGGACACAACAGCCAAGTCCCTTCAGTATTTCTAAGCTAAGGATATTGCCACATTTAGGGGATCTCAGGGCTTAGTTTTAGCAGCCACAGAGACTCTTGACTCAAGCAGAACCCGCACGTTAGGCCAGGAATGAAGAGCCATTAAGAGTCGAAGTTATTAAGTTCATTGGATTTCCCAACAAAAGCAAGAGTCGCACTCTCGGATGGAGGGGGAGGACGTAGGTAGGCACTGCAGGTCTGACAGATCTCCAAGAAACTGAAAGCAAAAGCCAGTCAAAGATCAGATTAAGATGTAACATTTGACCTGCAACCACWCTTCAGGAGCAAGAAGAAAGAATAATTAAAAGCAAAGTCTCATGTCAACATGAAAATAGGACTGAAGACACTTCACATACTATAAAAAGTCAATTAGCTATTTCTTCTATGCATTACAGACCTTCCTTGTTTAATATTTTCAAAACTGTTTGGTTTTCAGTCTAAACAGAGCACGAGGACACTGAAAATGCTATTGTAGGATGTGGGTAACGGCAAATTCTCTTGATAAATCAAGACAAAGGTCTGATCAGAAAAGTGCAGAAGAGGAAATCCACCCCTACCAAGAAAAAGCAGAGACATTTCAGTTAATTCTTCCCTCCCAAAGCCACCTGAGGAACATTAAAGATGGATGGGTTCTTCCAGCTCTGAAATACGGCAACTCTTGGCAAGGAGGTGCTTATTAGACTTCATTTTATATATWTTTTTTTAAATGTTCATATTAGGAATTAAGAATTTATTAAGACTGCATGGGACCCACAAGGGTGCCTGCTTGCTGAGCCAGTAAAGTCCCATGTCAAACCTACGTCACTCTCGGCCCGACTTCCCAGCAAGTCTGGGACACAGAGACCCACAGCTCCAAAGCAGCCACGTTGTGGTCGAAATTCAAACCAATGGGGTAATTATCAAACAAAAAAGCTATAGTTGTGCTGTGAGAAAATGTAGMATGCATAAACATACGGCCTCCCTGTCTCTAAACAGCGGAAGTTTTTTAGGGAGGAGGGCACCACGAGTCACAGCTTCTGGGGAATCTTTTATCCCAAGCTACATTAAAAGAGCTGGACACGGAGCTGTCATCCATAGGAAGCCTTTAGTTCCACATCCTTCCGTTCAGGTCTCAACACGCCCGCGAGCCTGAAGAGCAGATTTCTCCTTGGAGACTCATCAATACCGCCTTTCATCCAAGCGCATCATTAAACGGCCACTGTGCATCCGCGGCAGCTATTTTATAAAGCCACAACATTTCAGTTGGATCAAAACCTCAGATAATTAAAATAC